AGAGAAAGAAAGAAAGAAAGAAAGAAAGAAAGAAAGAAAGAAAGAAAGAAAGAAAGAAAGAAAGAAAGAAAGAAAGAAAGAGGGAAGGAAAGAAGGGGAGAGAGAGAAGCGGGGAGGGAGAGAAAAGAGAGGCAGAGTGAGAGAAAAGAAAAAGAGCGAGAGACAGAGAAAGAAAAGAAAGAGCAAGATAATGAAGAAAAAATAAAGAGAAGGAAAGAAAGAAAAACAGAAGGAAGGAAGAGAAAGAAAAAAGAAAGAAAAACAATAGAAAGAAAGAAAAATAAGACAGAAAGAAACAAGGAAGGAAGGCAAAGAAAGGAAAGAACGAAAGAAAAAGACAGGAAAGAATGAAAGAAAAAGAAAGAAAAGAAAAGAAAAGAAAGAAAGAAAGAAAGAAAGAAAGAAAGAAAGAAAGAAAGAAAGAGAAAGAAAGAAAGAAGGAGAGAGAGACGGGAAAGAAAGAAAAAGGGAAAGCAAGCAAGCTTGCTCAAATCCAACCTTTGGCGTTCACTCTGACACGGGTGTCCCCTGAAGCAGGGGAGACGCTAGTGTTTGGTCTCCCACAGCTTTTCAGTTTTTCTGATCTTTCCTCTCATCCTTTGCAGTCATTGGTTTTTGCCAAAAGATTCAATCACCTCAACAAAAGAGGCACATCCAGTAATTGCTACTACTCCAAGAGTAATTCATTGGTGCCAATCATCATGCCACGTTTTATCCACCTGTGGCATTGCCATGAGGATATCAGACCACAGAGTGGGAGCAGCTCTCAAGGATAGGACACAGAGGCTTTCGGCACCAAAGCCAGCTGGCTTAGGTAGAACTCATTCTTTTTTTTTACCAGGAAAAATTGACCAGAAGGGCGTAGAGACAGAGGAGACTGGCAAAGTATTGTCATTCTTTTCATGTTTCTTTCACGCAAAGGGAACACTGAAGACTGATTGAGATGTATAATCTTCCCCCCACCACACCCTTCCCGCATTGAAAAATATTTTATGTAAGTGATAAATACAAGTGTGTACAGGTCAACTAAGGAGAAAAAGACATGGAAAATGGTATAGTAGAAGACACGTTAGATGAAAACAAAAGACACTCTCAGATTACTTGAAGAGTGGGCTTATTTTTCTGCAATTAACAAAATGTTAAGCCCACTTAATGTTCACTTGAAACAGACGTATAACAAAAATCAACTATTTGAGAGTGAGAAATTGAAGGCAAATTCACTTTTGAAAAGTAGATGAAACAAAAGACAGGCTTTGCCAATAACAAGCTGTTCTGTGTGCGCTGGCTAAGGGATACTACTTTCACTTTTGAAAGGAATAAGTTTGCTCAGGATGACAATTTTTCTTCATTTTTAAAATGCAAACAATGATGCCAGCCGTTAACTTCCTTTCTAGCTATTTTGCTAATAAAGCAAGGAAGGAGAATTGAAATATGAAAAAATAATAAGACCTTGATTCTGACATAGAAACATCAGACATGTATTTTTAAAAATCAGATGACTGTCATCTCTTTAACAGAAGTGAACTATATGCTACATAAATGCTTCCTAGATGCCAGCCAACTTTAACACTTTCTATTCAAAGCTACATTTTGCTCTTGAGAAAGTATATCACAATTAGATTAGAAAGTGCATGGATAGGATGGCTTGGGAAGACTCAAAGATTGAATCCTGCAAGAAAAGAAATACATAATACGTAAAGAGTGAGTATTCTTCAGGGTTTTGACTGCATGACAATAGAGTCTTGCTCTGGGAAAGTTACAGAGTAGCCTGGAATGTCCACAATGATACTTATAAAAAGAAGCAACCTTCAAACCGAAGAAATGATATACAGCTGAAACAGAAAGACCTTTGCCTCACTCGGAGTGCAGGTCCACTCAGAAGAAAAGCCACACATCCCTCTCTCTCTGCATTTCACTCTAGCAGGTTGATGTTTCTCCACCTAGGACTCTCCATGTCTATTGATTTCCACATTTCTCTCTTTGTTTGGAACAAAAACCAACCAACTAGAAGATGATTTTATACACTCTTCACCAAATGGAAGTTGGGAAAGAAAAAAAAGCGTTTCACTATTTTACTTACTTCTCGCTCTCAACTTTTCCCAAAAATTGATCTGGTTATTTTGCTTTCCAGCCCTCCATCAACCTTCTAATTCTTTTTCACACACACACACACACACACACACACACAGACACACACACACACACTTGCCTGGTCCAATCTGGTGCCTGATTAACAACAACAGAATGACAAGCAACATCTGTTGGTGAAAAAGCCAAAGTCAAACCTTAACATTTTTTTGGCTAGGTTTCTTTTTTCTTTTTTTCCCCTGATTCTAAAATGGGAGGGGACAGAAAGAGAAATATGAAGATTTATATTCAGTATCGGTTCCAGTGAGGCAGCATCTACACTCCCCTAGAGCTATTTCAAGGTAAAAACAATTTTAGGTAAAACCACTGCAGAATATATGGCTGTCTCCCCTGCAGCAAGCCCAGCCACATAAAATCTAACATATCAAATCCCTAAAAATCAGGGGTTTTTTCTGATAGCTTTACATTCATCTTCTAATTAGAATTACAGGATCTTTTGTGTTAGGGAAGGAGTGATAAGAGATAGAAAGAGAGGAGAGTAAGACAGAAAAAGAAAAAATAGCAGAGAGGAAAGGAGCGCTGTCGTTCCTCCTAGATTTTATAACCCAAGCATATAACAGGCACATTTACGCTTGTGCCACACACAGGAGCGTGCACTGGAAGCAGCAAGGCTAGGGCAGAAATCTGCACAGCTGTAGCCATCAGAAACGGGCTCTCTCATTCCCCCACGGAGAGGTGGATTTCTGGAAAGCTACCAACAGACCACAAGGTCACAATGCAAAGGATCAGAGCTCCCTCAATGGGAAGGGGGTGGGGAGTGGAAGAGAGAAGAAGGAGCTGGTAAAAAAGAGAAAGCCTCACTCGCCAAATGAAACAATTTTGCCCCCAAGAAGGGAAATAGGGGACTGTCAGAAACTCAACTCCCATTTCACTCAGGGTTTGGAAGAAACCCACACACATTAAGGGAAAAATAAATGCAGACAAGTTGCTAAGGAGACTTGTGTAAACTCCAAGCGCAGACATATTTCTTGGCCTTTCCCCCTACGCTCCATCTTGTATTCTGATCACGCTGCTCTGCGGCAATGTTGCACCAACCTTCTGCATTAATCTTGGCCTTAACCGTGCATTCTGGCAAAGCACACTGGTTGTAGATATCATCATCTCTCAAACTTAACAAGTTAAAAGGATGTGTGTGTGTGTGTGTGTGTGTGTGTGTGTGTGTGTGTGTGTGATTAGTTGGGGGGAAAGTAGGGAAATTTTAATTTGGAATTTTTTAAACATAGGTGTTGAACAAAGAATATTTACAGTGCATATTTTAGGAGCAATGGGGAAAGGGATAGGCAAAACATCTAGCACTGGAAATTTCCCTTAGCCTGTACCTTCCTCATCTCTCTGTACCCCTAGGCTCTTTTCCCCCTCCCACATCTGTGAAAATCCTGTGGCCCTGGCAGATGCAAGCAGCGCCTGCATCACTGCAGATGACAGCGTAGGGTCCTAGGCTTCTGCAGAAAACTGCATTCCACAAAGTCGAACCCTGCTCCCCTACCCAGGGTATCCCAGAGAGATCAGCTTTTTGAAAACAAACTGGGTCAATTCATAAAACATCTAAACCAAACCTGTGTAGGTTAGAAACCAGCTAGCATTTTGGAGGATTTCCGCCTGATGTCCACCCTCTGGAGCTGAGAGCTTGTCCCACAGTGACACATCCTCAGTTGCAGCTGATATGTGTCAACATTTGATTTAGAAGAAAATTAACATTTTCTTTCAGGACAGAGATGTTTGTACTGTAGAAGCCAATGTTTTCCTTTCTCAGCCTCCTGTATTAGAATTTCTAAAATCTTCCCCAGGACAGAGAGAGGATAGACAACAAATGTCCTA